GCAGGTCACCCACGCTGCCCATTGCCACACGTGGAGCTTCAAACTACCACAGCAACTGCAGCGTTGAAGCCCGAGCTAGATGAAGAGCCATCAGGATGGGGACACGCATGCTTGCCCTGATGACCAAACATACTTTGCATATGTATCACAATTAGGACTAAACTCAGCAGCTTTATTTCCCATGTATGTGGTAATTATGATTCAATAGGGCTTCATAATGTTCTCTTTAATTACTGATTATATCTTTTTGTATACTTTTATATGCACGTATACATCTATATATTTTCAAACAGTTGGCACTGTATGTACTCAGACAAAATCTGAGGTAGAAAGGAAGATGTTAGAAGAAGAAACCAGAGCACAGAGCTGGTCAACACATATCTGCTGATGGGGCAGCAACAGTGGGAGCAGCGAGCCCAACCCCCTGAGCTGGGATCCTGGATGGGGTGAACAACTCTTCTTGGTACATGCGGCCACAAACAGCGCTTCTCCAAGTCTGCAGGCTCTTAAGCAGCCCTCCATGGCAGCTCAGACCCTGTAACATTTCAGCAAACTTCCCCGGCCGCAGTGCTGCTGGCACTGGTCAGCTGCTGCTGCCAGAAACAAAAAAAGAGGGGGATCACATACACATGCATTTTTGCTCACTGAGTGAGGGAGCTGAGCCAGATCGGGGAAGCCCCAAGACCAGGACAAAGTATGAAGTGAGAGTTGGCAGCTGTGGGGGATGAAATCCAGAGGAAAAGAGTAAGACCTTGGAGGACGAGCTCATCCTGTCTTGTCTAACTTCCATCTTTTGCCACTTCTCACATGCTCCTCAGGTAAGAAGATGAAAAATGCTGATATACAGGAACGACAACTTTTTGATCAATGAACACTGGCTGCATGGGGGCTTCAACACCCAAAGAAACCAACAGCAACATCTCTTGACTTCAGCCCATGTCGGGTTATGCTGGTTGGAGCGATGGAGGCATAAACGAGCCAACTCGGTTTTGTGCTTGTTCGCAATTAATTTCTCATGAACTCTTCGTGAAATGAGCAGTGAATGCAGTTAGCTGGGTGCCTAAGCAAGCACAAGATGGTACATGCATGGTCATTTCTCACGGCAAAAGCTGCTTACTTTCATGAGGACGTGCAGGAGCGTGTCACCACCCACTTCACATACACTGCTTGAAACTACCATCCTAAATGACTGCATGTGAATTTCGATTCAAAACAAAAACTAAATCAGGTCTCAAACACTACCTCAATTGCAACGGGGAAGTTATATAAAGTTAATTGGTAACCCGTACTCTGTATTTTACCATTATTTCTGTTGTTCTCAGACCTTCCTCACTTTTAGCCCTGGCCAGAATCAAGTTTATGACTTTTGATTTATGTAGTAAGAAGAGAGATTGGCAGCAGTGTGACACGGGAAGGACAGGGTGACAGCTGGCAAACATCAGTTCAGAAACACCTAGAAAGATGATAAATTATCTGAAGTGGTGTAAAAGGGACATAATAATAAATTTTACACCAAAGAACTTTATTTCTTGAAAGCCAATGACATTTGACTGTGGCAGTCTCCTAAAGGAAACGGTGCCTTGTTCTGAGGGACTGCAGAATCAGAAAGAGCACGTAGACAATGGAGAGGAGGCTGAGATGCTGCATGGCCAGGAAAATGGACAGACTGGGGTACCTGATCCCCATCTCTGAAACTAAGATCTCACTATAAAGCACTTTTATAATGAAGCATAAGAAAGAAGCGGTTGCAAAGAGCCAAACAGATCTCAGCTTAAATATCTCTGCAAATTAATACACTTTGTAGGAAAAACCTGCCAAATGCAGTGTTTATTCTAAGCACTTTACTGCCTCAGACTCATTTACCCAGTACCTTACATGCTCTCTTTGTAATGCAAATTTGCTAAAATACTATGCTTTCCATAAAACATTCATATAGACAAGCTCACACTGCTCAAATACCAATTGCAAGTGGAGCAAAAATACACTAAATTTTTCTTCATACTTGGGCTCTAAGTCTTATCTGCACAAGCAGTTTGTGAGAAACCTTCTGCTGTTGCTGTAGCCACCACAGCACGAAGGTGGAAGATTTCCCAAAGCAGCTGATGTAAGCAATTATAAACTGAATTACCACATGCAAAAGCCAAATGAAAAGGCTTTGTAGAAGATGGTTTTTTTTGAGGAAGAGAGATCATTACTGAGAGGAAAGGAGACACCTTGCATTTAAGATGGCAAAACTTCGCACATATTGCACCTGCTTGCTGAGCTCCTATTTTAAAAGGCACCTGTGTAACAACACCGTGTATCACCACGAGGGTTTGCAGGGAATCCTCACCGCGTAGCACCAGGCATGTCATTTCCAGCCACTACTGGATGTAATGCACCCACCCAACAACACGTGTAGCCCAGCAGGAGACACAAAATCATCCCAGTGAAGGTCTCCAGCCCAGCCTGACCCAGATGGTTCACACAGTGGAAGATGACTCAGGGTTGGAGAAGGCTGAGGGAAGAGAAACATTCCTGGTTTACGACTTACACAGCTGTGGAGAAGGACCAACACGTCACATTAAGGGTGCAATGTTACAGTGACTCCCTTCCTTCTCCAACGGATTTATGTGTTTGAACATGAAATACCACAGCAAATCCATGTCAAGCTGAGATTCACAATATAAGTTGCACTAAACCAAATTCAAGTACACAAGATACATGCAGGAAATTTTACTATATTTTCCTGGTCCCTCCACAGGTACCAACTACTTTTGTTTCAAAATGATCAATAAGTGTGCCATCTCAAATGCAACTCTGATCAACTGCTCTCATCCTGTAATTAGTTTTGAAAACTGCCAGCTCTTTTTCAGACTTGAAGAAAGGCCCCAAAATCTGGAAATTGTTCGATTATTTGTGTCTATCAGTTGGCCTGATAGAAGAAGATACCACCTCCAAGTACAAATCTTTCCCAGATTTCCCAGAACTGTGAGGCAGAACTCAAGACATCATTGCCTGAGGTGATAGAAACACCCACACTGGTTTTCACTGGGCTAAGATGCACAGGTCACCAACTGGGAGGCACCTTAAGAGTGCACCAAGAGCTTTTCTTTATTCTACATAATGAGATGCCAACTGCAAGCCAGGTGTAGCTCCCAGACCATCTGCCAGCCAAAACGCATCAAGGCCTCATTACTGCTCCTGAACCCAGATGACTTCCTGAAGGAAACCAGGTCCTCAGGGGAACGACGCACACCGGGGACTGCACCCCAGCATGATCAGCCCACAGCACCCACATACCAAAGTGAATCCGACTTAACGTGAAACTTTTAAGTTATTAAGATACATCAGGAGAGTCACTGGAGGAAAAGAAAAAAAAATGTTTGGGGCAGGATCTACAATCAAAATAAAACCAAATCAGTAATTGGGCATATGAGCTTCACAACGTGCTAAGAAAATAGGTACTTGTTCAAACACATGCAATGATTTCTCAGATGCGTTAAAAGCAAATGAACAGACTGAAACCTATTTGGTTTTGAAATTTGGTTCATTTGGCACATCCTCCACTTCTGAAAGAAAACAAACAGCGAATGCAGACAAGCCGCGGCATGAGCAGCCAAGCACTCTCCTGCCCACGCGGCTGAAGCCCGACTCAGAGGAACATACCTGGCTGTACCAGCTTAGTTTCATCTTTAAACTCAGTCCTCAGCCCATCCATTAGAACGGTCAATAGCAATGCCAGCTGAGAAATGTCCATCACTGGGAACTCATTTTTACAGGTCACTGGCTAGTCAGACAACAACAGCTTCTAGCCATTACTGACCTCTCTTCGACATGAACCGCTGATTTCCAGGAGAAAGACAAGCCACGAGCCATCCGTTTTCGTAATTGTAATTAAAACAAAACCAAAACCACTCAACTGTTTCTATGTGATTTTGTTTGTACAAAACATAAATGTGCAGCCATCCTGCTACATCTCTGGAATGCGAATACTAACATAATAAGAATCTGAATGCATTCACTTCATCTGTTAAGGCAGGGACTACCTTATTATAAGTAGGTGCTGTTGAACAGAAATTAGCATCAGAACAGTTTGGATAAGAAAAAGTGTTCTGCTGCATCAACCCCCAAGTAAGCTGACAAAACAGATTTGGAAAGGCGTGTCTTAATGTTGGAAAAATTAACGGCAACAAAGAAAAGAATAAAATGCCCTTCAGATATGTTTCATTCTCCAACTTATTAAGATGCAAAAGGAATTAAAAAAAATGTCATCTCTGTAAAGCTCAAGCACACTTAAGAAAAAAGAAACAAACCTGTCTGGTTGACTGGCTGTTTGCAGCACTGTCTGCCTTCACGGCTCTGGCAGAATTGGCTTCCTCAGTTGACCAGTCCCACTCCCACTGTACTATACAGAGCTCTGTGTTACAGACAGATCTGCGAGTTTCAAGAAAAATGGAGCAAAACCGCCACGACACACACCAAAGTCCACATCGAAGAAAAAAAGGCATACAACCAGTTATTTCCTCTGACAAACATATTAAATATTTTCCACTTGCAAGGATTCTCAATCAGAGAGACAGACTGCATCATGTTTGACTCCAGTAAAATGTCTCCTGAGAAAGTCTGCCTTGATCTAAAATTCTTACATTTAGGTTTTAACTCCCAGTCATATTTACAGGAATCTGCTTCCTCCAATTTCCTGACTGAGACTGCACAGCTTTAAATATGCCTGTCAGCTATCATATGACTGCAAACCTACTCAACTAAGAGACTCACGTTCTCAGGCTTCAGAAAATAATTAGGTACTCCAGATTTTCCTGCCGCTTCCCAAGAAGCGGACACCAATGAGCAACATCAACAACCCAGACCGCTGGTCCCATCCTGCCTCACAGCTCCTGTACCTCGAGGTTACAGTGATTCATGGAATTGCTACCACAGCAACCATCAAGATACATGGGAATTACCCACACCTGGATGCACATGTCCAGTTCCAACTCTGAGCTTGATCTCCTACTCACCAGGCTCTCCATCCTTAGTGGATATGCACTCTTTGATGGACTCTGTGATGCCGAGACTGGCTGCAGTGGGGAGTGGACCAAGCAAGGATTCCAGTGCGGGTGGTCTCACAACAGCTTCATGTCTATTTTTACCTTCCCCATCTTCATTCTGTTTGTCTCTATCCTTCTCATGAAGTTCATTATAAAAGTCCTTGTTTAAGTGATTGGCAGCTGCTTCCAGTTCCTCATCTTCTGCCTCCTCTTCTCCAAGTATGCTAGAGGTATTATCTTCTATAGAACCTGTAAGTGGAAAAAAAACACACAAAAACAACTGATCACTGTGTACCATCTGTTACAGAAACCAAATAAATAAAGAGGCACTCACTTAAATAGAAATCTTTAGAGAAAAATCTGTAGAACAAATACAGGATATTTTAGGACAATGTATGAATACATAAAGTTTCTAGATGCTCTTCAAATTCATTACCTTGGTTATTAAAATGTATTTTTGTGAATACAGTCATCATTTAAAATAGAAGTATTGTGTCACCAAATTATGGCGGGTAGAAGGGATTTGCAAGATAACATGGCTACTTACTGGTATAATTACAAACTAAAAATAGCCAGTTCAAACCGCACAAAGCCATTCTGTATCACCTAGTCAACTCAGTGATTCGGCGACAGAGTCAAGACACTGGTCGACTGCACTTTCAGTGATGAAAAAGAACATTCTCGGATGCCAGTGCCAAGCTTATACTGCACCAGGAAAGAAAAACAGCTGAGACTTTTAATGAACTTTCATTGTAATGAAGTCATTTTGAAGACTGATATATAAACCAATTAATTGGCACAGCAGAGATCTTGCAGTATGGAAGCATTTATATAGAATCATAGAATCATTTAGGCTGGAAAGGACCTTTAAGTGCAAGTCCAACCATTAATATGATCACATTTATCATGCTAAAGTTCATACACTTAAGACTCCCTGCAGGATCTGAACACGTTATTATTTAAGTAGTCACAAGACTTTAAAGACTTACCATCTTTAGTGAAATTTGCAAATACGCCTTTTGCTTTTGGTCTAGTGTTTTCTAATTCAATCTCTATTTCATCTTGATAGCTCGATATTTCACCTGTGGTTATGAAATAAAAGATAAAGCTCAGCAATCATTGATGTAATTTTTAAAAAATGAGTGATATGTTACAATAACACAATTTATACCTTCAAAATCTTCCAGCTTTTTTGATAACACCTTCTCAAGCTGAAATGAAAATAAACAGAGCAAAAGTGAAATTACGAAAAGAACCAAATTTTTCACTGTTTGTGGACTGTATACAGAGATACAGAATCACAGGGTATTTTAAAAGCAATAAGCAGGTTTCAAATCCTGACTCAAATTACTTTGTAGCATCAGGCAGGTAAGAGAGACAAGTCTCAAAATACTGACCAATTTCAAATACTATCTCACCAATTTCTGTACTTCAAAAGGAACCCTCGATAAAAGGCCCCATTCTTCAGCAGTCAGACTCCACAACTGTGCCTGGAGATAGGAGCAAGCGCAAGCACAGCGTTGAAATTGCAGTGCCCCAGCCAGGCAGAGCACACGGGTGATGGCAGGCAGAGGTACTGACCTGCAGCACCCGGCTGGCTCTGAGAACATCAGGAGCACACCTACAGACCTTTGAACGATAGCAGATTTAGAACAGTAAAACCAAAATCCCTGAAAAACTACGACGGTAATAAAATCTTCTCCTCTGGTGCCAGCTATAGTTCATGCTTTGTAAACAAATGAAGCCACATGAGAACTAATCTCTGTGGAAACAGGTGTTGCACCACACAAGAAACCCAGCAGTCTTGTTAAAGTAATTGGGTTCATTTTCACATGCATATGAGAAAAGCTTTATGTGTAATGGCACTCCTGATCACCTTAAAAACAGTGCACAGTTTCTGATCCAGCTACAGAGGTCACACCTTTGCAACCCTGATCGTTGCTAACCAGGGTGGAAGAGCAGACACAGCATATAACTGAGAAGTGCAGATATCAGGACAGCTACTCGAGACCTCCACGCCACAAGCTCAGCTGAACTTCTCACATGAGAGCCTCCAGTTTTGGAAGGACAAAAAGATTTGATGCTTCGGTAAAAGGTCAAAGTAGGAGAAGGGAAACGCACACATGCAGCAGCAAAAATCAAGTTCGGTGCAACTGTGTCATCTTGGAAAGCGGGGACCATCTGGGCAGGGTGAATCGAGCCCTCGTCTACAGCCCAGTCGTGGGCTGAGCACCAAACCCTGGTAGCCTGCAAACCATCGCAGCTCAGCTGCTGCTCCTTTTCTCAGCCACCCAGATGTCCTGATCTGCACTAACGAGAGCAGTGACTCTGTACTTCTCCCAGCAGCTGGCTAAGACAGTAGATGTACTTCGATCCCTCATCAGGGGATTTTTAAAGCTACAACTGAAGCTACATATCTGAAAGAGCACATCTTTCTGGAGGAGCCAGCAAAAATTATATAGGAGAAAAACTTTTTTTTTTTTTTAACTGGGAAGCTATCCCTTTGCCAGGAAAACAAAAAAACCCATCCTTTAGTTAATGGGTAGCATTTGCTCTAATGCTCACCCTTCTCTTAAGAACCTCAAATGTAACTAAACCTTATCAAAGGCTGGTCAGTTAGGATTTAGTATTAACTGATTCAAAAAGGAGTATACAGAGGGAGGAGAGAGAAATACAGAGAGCATCTCATTCAGAACTCACCTGCTGTATCTTCAGTTTCTTTTGACCAGCTGTAAACGAGGGAGGATCACATTCTTCTTCCAAATCAATCCTCATAAACTCATCTATGGTTAGCTGACTTGTCGGTGTATCTTCAAACTCTGTCAACCTACCAAAGCATACAGCATGTTACAATAACATCTTTAAGTATCCTTTAAAAGTAACAAAATTTGTCAAACTGCTAAATTAGAGAATAAACATGCAGTCCTCGGAAACTCTGACTCAAACACAGACTACACGAAAATTGAAGCAATATTGTTTCATCTGCTGTAAAGAAAGTATCTTCTCACATCACAAATTAGCTTTTGATTTATTAGAGTATGTAACACAGTTTTTAATGAACAAAGACTGAGCAGAAATACAGCAACGCCTATGGTCAATTAAGTATTAGTGTTTGTACTACCAAACACTTAGTGTTTATACAATACAGTGTTTATACTGAATTAAGGATTTTTCAGCTCCTCCTGCCTTCCCAACAAGAAGTTGGGAGGGGACACAGCCAGGCGAGCTGGCCCAAACTGGCCAAAGGAATATTCCACACTATGTGACATCATGCTGAAATGTGGACCAAACCAGGGATCGCTGCTCAGGGACTGGCTCCAGTATATAAACTGTGGGAAGCGGGCTGGGGGATGCCCTGTGCAGGTCACTGCTTGGGAACTGAGGAAGCACTGGTCAGCGGGTGGTGAGCACTGCATCAGGCATAGGACTTGGGTTTTGTTTCCCTCTCTCTTTCTGCTATATTCATCTTCAATTTTTATTTCAATTATTAAACTGTTCTTTCCTCAACCTGCAATTTTTAGTAGTGTTCGAGCGAGTGGCTGCCTGGTGCTGAGTTGCTGCCTGGGGTTAAACCACAGCCCTGGCAAAACTACGGCGGGATGCGCAGCTCATTGCTCCTGTCTCGTTGCTTTTGTTATCAACAGCAACAACAAAACAGATTCCCAAACTAAAATATCTGCCATCATAGTTCAGGAGTACACTAAAAATATTCCTGATAGACCCTTTTAGTTTATGCAAAGCAAATGTTGAAGTAACCTATCTTCAGCAGACTGGAAGAAGGTTAAGAAGTAACCAGCCCAGGATACACAGAAGCAGTAGTAAAAGTAAAGGGATCATCTGCACATTGCACAGATGGAACAGATGAATGCACATAATTTTACAATACTATGCATTGTATTTTTTTTAATGTTACCTTTTAAAGAGTTTCTGCCTATGAGAGATAGGACTAGCTCCATGAGGAATCTTTCAAAAGAACTGAATCTTAAATGAGGCCATGTTGTCATAACTGCATCCACAGATTTCAGCATTTTATACAGGTGGTTGAAAATGAGCACGTCCATTTTACAGATGGAGAAAGTGAGACAAAGGTTACGTACAAAGCCAGGTCAGGAAATGTCTGGCAGAATGCTTTTCTGACAGAAAGTGCCCTTTTAATAATATCAACATTTTCCACGGGAAAATAGCAATGATGGGTCTGCAGCTGCTTCACTGGAATATTCTCATCTTCCAGAGGAAGCAAAGCTAACAACAGCTTCCATCTGCACAGCTAGGAAACTAAATCAGTGACTCAGTACTGCCGGCACAGGACCTTTCAGCATTTCTCCCTCCCAGTCGCAGTTGTGGTTTTCTCCTCTACCTCTGATTGCAACAAAACTCCTTCCAAAGAAGGAATTTTTCTCTAGGACAGAAATCCAGTTTCCAGCCAACTCCAGGGTCAAAGCCAAGAACACAGGGCCACATTCTCTCCCTATATCCTCATCAGTACCTGTATTTTATTTTTTTTACAAACTGAGGAGCAAGACAGCCCACACTAAGGGACGCAGGCATGCAGTAACTTCAGGACACTCTGCCTGGAGGCACCCGGCTCCCGGAGCAGCATCTTGTGCCGTGAAATAGGCAGGGAGAGCCAAGCACTTCTGTGTCAAACCGCTGGCAAGCAGCGTGCCAGGCTCAGGCACAGCTACGCTGGTCAGGATTAGTGCTGCTGAGGAGATGAAAGCCTTCGAAACCCAGCCTTGCTCTTGGAGCGCAGGCAGCTCCATGAAGCCCCAAATTAGTCATGTATTTGAGAGTGACTGACAGCCCAAAAACTTTCCCTCAGTAGCAGGAACCAGATCTCTCCTCCTCCCTTCTGGATCAAATTGGAAAGGAGAGGTGGATGCTGTTGGCAGCAGCAGTACCCAGCTTTTAATTAAGAGAGTAGAAATCTTTCTTGGTGTTAACAGGCTTCCAGCATGCACTACCCACCTTCAGGGAGGGAGTCTCATCTATCAGGCTAGAGGAAAAGCCTGGCTAGGACCTTGTCATAGTTATATTGATTCAGGATTCATATAATGCCAAACCCATGAAGTCCTTCAAGAGCACGTATCTTCCCAGCCACCACTACTAAACTGCAGTCGTTCATCTCCCCATGTATAAACCACTTACCAGCCTCTCCTAGTTAAAGTGTTACTCTTCTCCCACCATAAAAAGCCAACACACGCTTTGGCAAAGACACCCAGTTTGTTTACCCCACACTTGCCCTGAGCCTGAGACGAGCAGCCAGACCCAGAGCCCAGCCAAAACGGCAACACCTCCAGGCACATGGAGCAACGTAGAAAACAGCAGCAGCAAAACCAGTCACTGATGAATCAAGTGTGGGTTTCAGCACCTAACCCCGTGCACGTCTCCCTGCAGACACCTGAGGCTCCGCCTGTCCTTCTCCTTGTCCACCGCGTCGTGTGACCCATGTCACGTACCCTGCATCCATCAAGAAGTTAGCCCACGGCTGGGACGAGCTTCACCGCAAGCACCAGCTTCAGCCCTGAGCTACGATGGCACCACTGGTCTCTCCTAGGACCTTCAGTTCATCTGCACTAGGACAGGGCAGAGCTACTTCGTGTTTGCTGTGGTGCTACCACGGAGCTCAGACCCCCAGCGCAGCACGGTCTGACTACCCGTCTAGGCCACCAGCATCTTGCCCCATGCCTGTGCCCTCCTCTTCCTCAATCCTGAGTCAAGTCAGACAGGGCGATGACTGCGCACCTGGTGCTGAGGGCTGCCAGCGTGATGGTGCAGGCACAGGCGAGTAGCGAGCCCAAATTTAGAGCAGTACATTATTTCTTCACTTCTGGCTCGTCTTAACAAGGCTCTAGCCTTCCTCCTGAAACACTGAACCCTCCCTGGCGGTCAGGATCACAGCTCGAGCATCATCTCTGTGGGAGAGCGAGCTGTTCACTCAACATTTTCTCCTGTAACGCGACACAAATAAATAACCTGGGTCTGCCAACCACTTGCCTGCCTCAACATTTTACATTGGCTGATATCCTGTCTACATATTTTTAAACATTTCTTTAATTTCATCCAGTGTTTGGACACATGCCACCAAGGCAACAAACTGATGCAGGCAGCAGTCTACACCACACGAAACAAGGCAACATTAGTTTGGCTACTAAGAAAAACTGACGCAACCTTAATTATAAACACAACAAATTCAGGGGCGAGGGAGTGCCCTCATGAAAAAAAAAATAGCTATGGGCTGTTTTTTAAGTCCTACATAAAAATGAATCCAAGTTCATTTTGCACTTCTGTTAATCTAAAAAAATCTAATAAGAGTTGCCACTTCAAATTAAGCACAGAAGGAGGAAAATAAACAGATACACAAATTAAGATATTATTTCCTTGGCACAAATTCAAAAGGGTTCTAAAAACTGAAATTTGGCAGACAAGTATTTTCTATTTATAGTCAAAGCAGAGGCAACTACTACAGCACAGGCTAAGATTCAGTTTCCAGTATAAACCCTCCTCTTACAGTTTCTCACAGCAAATTCTTTCAAGCAAATTCCTTTGGGAGAAAAGTTTTTCCAGAGCATGGTGTTATCTGCCCCTAACTCCAACTCTTTTTTTTTTTTTTTTGCAAAGAAAAACATCCATGGCTTTTGTTTCATCCGTTTACAGTCAAATTCTGATAAAGCACTTTTGTGCACAAAACAGTAAACCAATTCTGTTCACACTTAATTTAGCTCCCAATAAGGGAAAATGGGTCAGTCAGTTTGAAGTTACGAGCAATGGTTTTTTTAAACTTTGTTTTGTTTCACCAGACACTTACGAATCCAGTCTACAGTCAAGGAAAATAAAAGAACTGTGTGCAGCTAGCTGGTCCGTTTTAATGTTTAATTGAAATTCTGCATCAGTGGGGTGTGACAAAGCGCGTAAAAGAACAAGGTCTTTGCGAGTCCAACTCAGAAATGCTTCAGGAGTCCAAGTTCAAAGACCAAAAGGGACTTCTAAGCAGACACCATTTAGGAAGAGCCACGGTGTCCTTCTATTTATACACAAGCAGCATCGAGCTCTAGAAAGCAGGCAGCATAAAGCAGAGGTATCTTGTGCTGGACCTCTATGCAGAGGGGCAAACAAATTACAACTTCAGAGACAATCGTGTTTTTGAAGAGTGAATGTAAAATTTAGCCTACGCAGTCAGGCTTTGTGTTACCTGTTGTGAAGGTCTTGTTAAAGTACTTAAAATATTTTATTAATGGCTTAAAAAAGCACTAATCTGAATATTGGCATAGTGCTAGCAGAAATACATGAAAAAACCCACAACTTTATTGCAAGATAAGCTGCTGGTGGTAAACTCCTCTGATTTTTCCCAAATTAACAATATAATTAAATTCCTCAGTAATAACTTACAGGATATCTACATTATCTTAACTGTCATATCAGTTACAAATATTCTAGTGACAGAGCAGCTGATTTGACAGTTCCAACATCTGCAGATGTTGGAAAAGTAAGGGACTTAAATTTGTGTATTAGTGAACCATCTAAATATTTCAGTGCATCTCCACTGTTTTAACTCAGCATTCACCAGTGCTGCTTGCAACTCTAAACCTGTGCACACACTCAAAGGAGAGCAGTTCAGAATTCACACTGTTGTGGCAAAACGTCACTATTTTTTAGAGTATAAATTTAACCACCTATTGCATCATCTTCTCCCCACTTTTTTCCAAGCCATACAATGCTTACGCATGAACTATTTATGGAAGTATGCAAAAACATACCCTAAAAGTGATACTTAAAAGAGAACATGTATCAGAAATAGTTATTAAATGCTTCCTTACACGACATAAAAAAGGTTTCCAGTATCCATCAGTATGTAAATAAAAAGAAGTGTAATCTCCTTGTAGTCATTGTTGTACATATATATAATTTTACACGTACTTGTAGCAATATAAAAAAGGTATTTTAAAAGCCTGTATGAATGACTATCTCATTACTAAAAGTAAGGACAAAATCAGAGGTGATCCAGTTACTGTCATTTTACAACTTATCACCTGAGCTGGGCTAAATTAGCCTGTCTGTGTTCCCAGCCCGATGCAACCATAAAGAGAAATAATTTCACTTAAACAACTTCCATGCTGTACTACAGTAACACATTTCACCCCTTTTTGCAATGGACTAAGTGCATACACAAAGAGTCATTTACTGCAAATGACTGTAATTGGTGACTGATAATTTATGGCGCTCATTTGCTGGCAACTCTGGCTTTTTTCTAAGCATTAAAGAATGGGTACCTTGAAATACTTATTGTACTAAATAAAAGCACCCTTTAGAATTAGATGCTTTTACTTGCACACACCAAAACAGAGTTTTAAAATTATCACAAATTTGTTAGCATAAAATTTAAAGCCCCGATTCTGCAAACGCTTTCACGTGTGGCTGTTTGTGCACAGTCAGCCCGCTGAGAATCCCACCAACAACCCTCCTTGGCCATCCCAGAAGACCACCAGTCAAAACCACCTGGGATTTTTTTTTCTTTTTTTTTTTCTTTTTCTCTCCTGATTCACGTGGTCCCACAACGCTGATGAAACAAAATGCTTTAGCATTCCTTAAAATTTCGCTTCATTAGCGTGATTCCTCCACCACGGTCTGTCAAAAAGACTCTGTGATCTCTTGGTCAAGAGAAACAGTGTTCTGCTTCATTTTTTAACAGCTGCTCAGATGAGGAAAGTCAAACACAGATCTAAGTGTCAAACACAATATCTAAGCCCAAGTTACTGCAAGTAAATTCATTACTGTTTCAAAAGTAACAGACACCAAATAATTTTGAAATTACATTTTTTAAATAAGTATGAAGTACTACAATCTATTAGGAATCTAATTAATACATTAGCTTACTGGCTGTATAGAAGCTGCATCTATAAAAGGGAACGCTGCCTGTGAAATTGGATTCCTCAAAAATAAAACCTTTTTTCATTAAAACATACAGTCCAACTTGCAAAGGTATGCAACCCGCATGGATCAAACTGTATTTTACTCATCACACTAGTAAGATTTCTAGAAATCATCTATAAGCCATCTGAAATTATTTAACTGGAGACATAAAATGTATCTCAATTTACATTCTGAGCCTACCACAACAGCGGCCAGCAAAGGAGCTCCATGGCTGCTGAACAGAGATCAGGGTGAGCATCACCACAATCTCTTTTACACGAAGTTTTCTGACAGCTTCTCTCTGCACCGCGCTTAACCAGGAGCACTTCTACAACCCTGACACAGGGAGCATCCTCTACCTTTCTCCATGCTCAAACACCTCCAGCAAACAGCTCTCACTTAATTCACCAGACACCCTTCATGGGACATCCCTTTATGGGATCACAGCCAGGCACAGACTTCTTCACACCTTTTCCTTCCGTCCTGGCCTGGATACAGCTTTGTTATTTTAGAAAACATAACATCACAGCCACCTTGCAGCTACGCATGTCCCTGTCACCTTCTCTTCCCATCCTGACTCTGGACTTGTGTAGCGACTTGCTCCTCGCCCTGCCTGCTCTCACAGACATCTGCCTGGCTTGACGCCACACTGGGAGCTTGGATGTGGACTTCACGTGAGCTGTACATTGCAGAAACGAAAATAGGAAAAGCTGCAGGCAATACATTTATCTCTTTGCATGAATCTTTAATTTTCCCAGAAAACTACCAAACCAGTCACTGAAAAAGCTCTAGCTGCGTCCCCAGGATATGAGCAAAGGACCCCATTTACAGAAGTCCCTGCAGCATCTCCAGTCGGTAAATGGAGTTCCTTCCTACACATCTTCCTTCCCCAAAAATGCTGTTTTGTTTTGAGAAGAGACGTTTACCTCAAAAAATGAGCCCTTTTTACCAATTCTAGCCTTTCATTCCAATTCCTTCTAAACGAAAACTTTACTTCTCAAGTTCATCACAAATATTTTTTTTAACAGATTGTACTTTATGGAACTGAGATGAAATATTTTTTTATGTAAAAATCAGCTCAATTTAAAGATAAAGAGAGTAAGCCAAAGAAGTTAAATGCAAGTGTTAACCAAGATAAGCTGATTTTTTTTTTTATTTCTACTGAAGAAGTGCCTAAGATCTTCAAACAGGCGTCAGGGCCGCACAGTATTAGATAATGCACAATGGCCAAATAGCACAAAAATTATTCTCGCTGCAGATAAGACAGAACTTGGTATGCAGGGAAAGTTTGCAATAGGTGAATAAACAGATGAAGGGGCAGAGTATGTAAAAGTTAAAAAGGCAGCAGTGAAGACAGGTGCATTGAACACAAACACATATTTGAGGATTAAACTAAATAAAAGGATTGGGTTTATTAAAAGTTAAATTTTGCTATCTCCACAGATGATTACACAAAAAATAACAATTTAAGTAATTAGTTAATATTTGTACACTACTTTGCACATATAAAGTGATAACATAAGTTAATATAATTTCAATTAGACTGGAAATGAGATAGAATTATTAGTGCATTTATTAATATTTTACATGTTCACTTACAATAAGTTTTACATTTTAATTCTGTGCTTCAAACAAAACTAGAAGGCCTTGTGAAGCAACTGCAACACTTCCTTACCACGATCCTACCGACACCCCTCGCTTATTAAAAATAAACACACACTGGTTTTTAACAAAACAGACAGTTAAATTAAGAACTCTCAACTCAAAGATGAGTGACGAGGTCCAACAGGCCATACTTTGTTGTTTTTTCCCTTCCAAAACAGACTCACTTTGTTTTTTCCCTTCCAAAACAGACTCACTTTGTGATCAGGTCATTCATTTTTATGACCTGAAGGTACGTCACATTTTTATGAACCTCCTCCGAGAGCTACTCCTCCGGTACACGGCAGTGGGAGAGGCGATGACCATGGGCACGTAGGGCTTGGTGCTCTCCACCTGATGGGCAACAGGGTGAAGCAGGCAGCCAAGTGGGAGTTAAACCAAAGCACACAGCAGGACCTGCAGGCTGGAGGCCTCAGCTTTATCTGGACTCCTGCTTGGTTTCATTTCAAGAGCTGCCAGGACCAAGCCCTCAGTAGCGAGCGAAGCGCCCAGCGTCGTCCGGTAACGAGTAGTCACCCAGCTACACTCAGCACCTTCACAAAGCAGCAGCGCTTTAAAAACAAGAGTTAACTATAGCAATACTTAAAAGGAAATAAAACCGTACATCAAACTGAGAAAAAAAAGACATTTTTAAGAACAAATTCTCATTAATTTAGACAACTTGATGGCATTTTGAGAGGAATTCTTGAAAGAAAGGGGAAAAAAATGGAGTGCGGAGTTACTCAGAGGTATTTTTTTTATTTGCCTTTGTTAAATACTATATAACATGCTCTTATTTGAAAAACATCAATCAAATTTATAGATTCGTGATAAATACAGTTGTAATTATAGCTGCCTGAAAATAATTCAGCTGTCACATTTACCCTGTCAAAGTAAATAATGCTGTCATTTCAGTTGATGTGTGTGACTTGAGTAAACATTTCAAAGCACGAATTTTTAAGTAAGATTTCTTCGCTTGAAACAATTGCTCAAATTAATTTTCCTTCCAACTCTAATCTATTATGCTTATTTTTCTTAGGAAGAACAAACTCTTCGATTATTTAACCAGAGCTCCTTGAAGTAGACTGCGGGTGTCTAAATCATTAATCACACAAAATGCATGCTAAAAAACCAGACCCGCTGACCAGAGCAAACTCTTGGCATTTGTACTGCTTCATCCTTACAGCTGTAGTACCTTGAAGTACTTCAAACACGTGAAATTTATCCCGATACTACCCCTGCATGGTAGGGAAATAGCATTTTTTTCACAAATGAAGATCTGAGGCAAAAATGTTTTTCACAATTAAGAAATGAATATTAGTCACAAGTATTAGACTCGGCTGGATGTGCTTAAGCTGGTCTCAACAAGATGGAGAGAAAGAGACACCAGTGGAACTTTCCAAAAATAGACCTTGGTGGAACAAACTTCAGAATATGTTGGTGGTACAAAAATTTCCAACTGAGAGCAACAGGAAGCATAATATTTCATAGTCAGGACATGTTTTTAGCAAACTTGTGAGGGAAGAAAATGTTACAACTTTTCAAAACTAAAATGAGGGAAATCAGGTGACTGCTTACTTCACCAAAATCTGTAAAATACTATTAGATCTTTAAAATAACCAAACATGCCGAAGGTACTTCATGAATTTCCACTTTCAGGCTCACATTCTCCTGGTAATTCCACTTTGGACCCCTTTAGTGAGTTTAATCTTTAGACTCCCCACAGTGTCTTCTATTTAATTAGCAGTGCAACACTATCAAAACTGAACATTCCACAAAAGTACTTTGAGAAGTTCTGTTCAATAACAGCCAAAGAACAAGACTTATCCACATGTATTTGGGATTAATGAAAAAAAAAAAAATCCCACAGTACACTCTCAGGTTTGACAATCAATCAATCAATCAATCAATCAGCCAATTATGTCTTCTGAGGACATGACAACACTGTTAACATTACTGACCCAAAATTTTTTTGCCTTCAACTCTTCACCAGTTAAATGGGCACAGCGCTCCTTGCCATCTCTGCTAGGAACTGGAGACCTTACCCAGGAGGCAGGTGTTAGTACTTAAATATGACCAGCTAAAACATGTTGTACTTACTTTATTCCTGGCACTTCTGAAAATGAAAAGTACTTGGTTTTCCCTGACACACATTCATTTTAGACTACACCACTTTTCAGTACTGTAAATGAAAGATAAAAGCATTAAAACTGCACTGACCTTTTCCTTAATGTAGACTCACAAACCTTGACCACCCTGATGACCTCTTTAACAGTACGTCGGAAATCATGCATTCTTGCTGCCACCAGCAGAGCTAGAGAACAAGCAGGGAAAGTCAATGTCAAAAAGAGGAAAATTTCCTGAAGAAAAGCAGAAAAAAGTCCGATAACTACACCCCCTCTTTGTCCCTGCCTCCAGCTAGAGAGCTGTAAATGCCTATGCTCAGCTGTGTCCCTGAACACAGGTGACTGACTTGACTTTACAAACTTTGCTTCCTGCCCAGTAAAATTAGACTGATCGCAAGCTGCACTGAAAAATTCTGTGCTTTAATATTTGGGAAAACACGGTCGGCTACTTAAAATGCAGCAAAAGAACATCTCATTGATCATGTATTTTCAAAGTTATCATCCTTTCAGCAGAATTTACTAGTCCCAAAGAAAAAGATCTCCAGCGAAACACTGAAGCTACTTAAGGTGTTCTCATCCCTGTCACCACTATCACCATCCTACTAAGGCCCAGGTGCTTTCCCAAAATACCCTCTCTAGAACTAGGTAACTACTACTGGTTGCAGTTACATTAGTGTGTTGATTCAGACCTCTAGCTCTGATTTGAAGCATCACCCCCACTCACTGTGCAACGGCTCAGCCCACAGATCAGTTTTAACCATGCAAAAGTGCTTCCTTCCAGAGGAAACTAAACCCAAGCTTCACTTCAGGTATGTGTTTAAAGTGCTCCAGTTCCTAACGGGAACATCAGGGGGTGAACCAACAACTGGTCCTTCTTCAAAGGACGTGTGCCGCAGATATTTGGGCCAGGGAAACAAATTAAACCTAGTCCACAGAACACCACATGAACTGCATATTGCATGGAGGGATGCAGGGGACACTTCACCACCCGCTTCAGTCTATTGGTCCACGGCTGTTGAATCAAATCACTTGCTTCTGTGGGTATAGTCCATGTAGCGAATAACAACCAGGCTGGTATCCCGTAGACTCAAATTTTTAGCAACGTGGAATAAGTAAGTACTATTAACAAAAAAGAGGCTAGAAATGTCAAGAAGATTACACTGTCCCGGGTTCCCTAAGGTCCGAGTGCTATTTCTCATTCCAGCACGCTGAAGTAAAATCTTTCAGATAAAACAAAGCACACACGTGAAGTCTGTGACTATTCACTCTTTGCTACTCTGACCTCAGTGGCTGGCACTGACTACCTTTTAACCTAGCCCTCCCAAACTGGCAGGTTTTCTTCTAAGTATCATGACAGCGATGGATCTTGGAAAAAGATGAACAAGGAGAGAAAAATAATTTCACAGAACAGGTCAAAGAGGGCATTTCTTGCATAAGACTCTGTGTAAAAACACAAATCAAAGTGCTTGCACTAATGGTGTCATTTTAGCTGACAAAGAAACCTTTTAGCAGCTAGAGCTTGCAGAGAGTGTGGGCGAGAAGAACACCAGAAAGAAGGTTAAAAAATCCAAAATGTAAGATACAAAGGATCTGAGCAAGTAATGTAGGATAAAGGACAAAAACAAAGTTTGAATTCTGGAAACTATTTCAACAGAGACCTATATAATCTGTAGGTGCCTGGCGGGACAAAACGCAGAGAACATGGTATTACCAAGGAAATGAGAAAGTCCTCATCTGTTCCCACCTCCCAGACTCTCTGGTCCAAGCCACTGCAGGGGAAATGACAGAGCCTGTGTCTGACATACCTGCCCCACAGAGCCCAGAGGGCCGGCGGCCGGTGTGCATCCAGTCCCGCTTCATTCTCTGCAACAGCCGGAGAGCTGTCATGGACACCTCGTGGTTCTTATCCCCAAACTCAAGCATGTGTGCAAAACGAGGAATATATAAACACGGATCTGTAACAGAAAGCGATACGATTACTTCAAGTCCTAACCTTTGATTTAGGAAAGGCAGCACTCAAGCAGCAGGACCGCAGGGCTGACGCGGTTGGCGTGCTTCTGTCCCAGCAAACACCACGGACTGTGCTGCTGGGCCAGATCCTCTGATCACTAAGCTTTAGAAGGACCTTTTCAGTTAGGCTAAAACAAAATTCTCTCATGTTTTCTAGACAAAAGATCTTTAAAGCACTGCACAAAGTTCTTCTTAAAGGCTTTTCAGGGTCCAAGGCTGCACATGCTGACTCCCAACACGTGAGCAGCGTTATTGGCATCAGTGAAATTATGCACAAAGCTAAGCATTTGCAAAAGCTTTTGCAGAATGAGGACATGAGTTAAGACAAAACTTTTGATATTTCTGGCAAAGTAACAGATAAGGTAACCTGCATGTGTCATCTCACACCTAACTACAAACCAAGCTTCGAAAAAAATTCATTTGCTTAAAATCCCACCTCCTTAACAAAAGTCTGCTTACATCTTTGAAGATAATTCCAGCTCCTTCTCAGGCTCCTGTTGCAACAAAACCATCCCCTATTCATTACAGACACTAAGGCATACTCTCTTCATCAGCATAAATGGCTGGAATGCAATTAACATCAACATCACTACAGCAATTTACATCGGCCATGGATCTGCCTCCAGATGCATAAACTTATTTCAAAGCATTGGTGTTATCAGCTTCAAACTAACCAAAATATGTCAGTATGGATTGTGCTTTGCCCAAACCAATTTATAATATATCAAACAACCTCGTAAAAGCCACACTTAACACATGTTTACTCTTATTTGAGGTATCAATTTCTCATTTCCTGCCAGCCTTTTATCACTGGACTGAAAATCCATGATGTACGGTAAATTGTTAACTATTAGTCTCAACTCAATTTCCTTAGCTGATCCCCTATGTGGGCACTTAAACTGATAAAGATGAAAATTCAGCTCGGAACACTGGAACAATCTTACGGATTTACAATTAATCAAAGCAGTTCCATTTAGCACCAAGTTCTAACAACGATGCCCTGTTGCTATCCATAATTACCTAGATCACACCGTAGGTGATTATGCCTGTCAGCCCTGCAGAATCATTTAAATGAAAGCATTTATCAAGCAAAAACTTCTAAGGACGTCTTCCTCCAAACTGAAGAAATGCCAGAATGTAGTTACCTCCTAAACATGACCCTAAAAATCGAAGGTTTAGGAGAGATTGACTGATCCCCGTGATTCCTAAGGGCAGCTGTTAGGCATTTCCAAGTATGATTTTGTAAAACCACCCAACAGAAAAGACCAATTCCAAAACAGGACAGAAAAAAAACCTTTCAGAAGTGACAGCCTGGGGTTCAACAGACTTTTAAACCTCACTCTTTGCACTACAGAAACACGTGTGATGTTAAAAAGTGATGCCCGTTCGCCTTCCCAACTCTTCTTACCCCGAGAGTGCCCGACCTCAGCTCCTCCGGCTGCCGGAGCGGAGCAGAGCAAGGCAGTCCACTGCTCTCTCTTCCGAGCTGCACTGAGTTTCGGGAGCATTTACACATTTCATTGTAGCTGTTCAGACGTTTCTGCTGGCATTCATGCCCACAGGTCATTCGACAAAACATTGCACATCGTTAATTTGAATTCTGAAGCTACCAAACAGTCAGAAAATGAATACGCCGGTGGGTTTTAAGTGAACCTTAAAGAGGCCATAAACGGCTAGGAAGCAGGAACACCAATCCATAAATTAAATGCAGGGCCAAGGTTAACATAAACATGGATGCAAGCATTCAAAATACTAGTAAAAAAAAATGTTTAGAAGTTGTGAAACCCAAATGCTTTGATTCCTTCCAAGAACCGATGCCCGGCGGGTGCCCCGGCCCCCGGGCGAGTCTCCTTTGCCTTCGGGGCGACCCCAGGGACCCCAACCTTCGCGCCTGCCTGTGTGAGCTCAAGCCAGGCAAAACCCATTGGTTTTCCTCAACGGGGCCGTGAAGCAGACAGCAAAAAAAAAATTAATATTAAGAAATCGTTATTTTATTTTTTTTAAGAAATGTCCATCCGTATTTTGTTTAGACTTTCATTGCTCTTCCCATCCCATTCATGACCCAGAACTTGGGATGTTGGGAACCACCTGGACGCCACCCAGTCATTAACAGGACGGCAGAAAACGATAACGGGAAACTCTT